CCCCCCCGGCGTGGGCCCGCCAGATGCGACTGAAAATAGCGGTCGCGCAGCGGGCAACCTGCGCAGGGAGATTCAGGCTCACGCCGTTGTCGCCCAGGGTCGCGGCAGATTGTCCCGCACCCTCGGCGCCCGACAACGGCTCCCCTTGAAATCCTGGATGGAGCTGGGCAGCATCGTACCCACGGGCTGGACCTCCAGTGCCGGGGGCCGGGGCCCAGGCCGCGGGCGAGGCTGCCAGGGCCCCGGGCGCGGTCGGGGCTCAGGTCGGGGCCCGGGCTGGGGTCGCGGCCGGAGCGGGCGCAGCGGCCGCGGCAGAGGCGCAGGAGGCTGCGGAGGTGGCGGCGGCGGCGGAGGTGATGGTGGCGGCGGCGGCGGCGGCGGAGGCGACGAGGAGCGCCGGGGCCCGGGGCGGAGCCGGTCGGGGCGGCGGAGGCGCCGAGGTCGCCCGGCGGGGCGGACCGTGCTGTCCGTGCCTGGGCTGTGGGCCGGGACGCGCGATCGGCGGCCGCCCGGGCGCTGCTGCGCGCTTGTCCTCGTCTCTAGCGGTTGCGGCGGCCGCTAAGGGGCCTCGGCTTAGGACGCGCAGCACTGGTCACCGCTCGGAGTCCGCATCCACTCCCTCCCTTCCCAGCCCGGCTCCCCCTACGGCGGCCGCAGGGAGAGCCCGAAGCGGGCAAGCCGGCAGCCGGCAGCGGGCGACGGGCGACGGACTGCAGCTCGAGCCTCGGCTCCTGCGCCGAAGCGGGCGGCGAGTTCCCATGGCAACGTTCGCGTCACCGCCGCTCGCCACGCCCCTCGCCCCGCCCTTGCCCGGCCCAAGCCTGGCGGGCCCACGAGGTCAGTGCGCGCCGGGTGGTTCCGAGCAGGGGGGCCGCTCGTCCCTTCGGCTTCGGACGCGCACTGGGCGCGGGCCCGGCTACAGGTAGAAAATAGGTGTCGGGGTGGAGGCCTGCGACTCGCAGGGGTGGGGAGGGAATGGGGGCACGTGACACGGAGATGGTGTTTGAGACCATAAACGGGTTCTTTTGCCTATTCTGCCGTCGTTCCCCATTCCTAAAGACCAGACCCCGAGCTCATACTGTTCGTATTGTGGCCAAAAAAATATATCATTAAGACGCACTTTAAGGTTTAGTGCTAAAATGGCCAAAATGGTCAAAAACAATTGCCAGCTGCTGTGAGTTTTTAGGAGCAACCGGAGAGGGGCGTGTGTGAACAGAGAGAGAGAAAGAGAGAGAGAGAGAGAGGAAGAGAGAGAGAGAAGGAACACTGACTCCTCTAGGGTTTGTGTGTGTTTAGGTTACTCAGAACCGAGCTTTGCCCCGTGAGCCAGACAAAAGGAAGTGGACCATCTCAGCTCATGCAAAGTTCTTCTGTTGAAAGTGTCTCTCCCTTTTTTGTGCTAATCCACATTCCCCCCCTCCCCCCCGCCCTAGGGTTCCCAGGGTTGAAGCCATTGGAGAGGGGTGTGGCTGTTAAAAACCCTCCCATTCCCACACAGTCTATAACAACAGCATGGGCCACATTGTCTTGTATGACTCAGCAGCTCAAACTGTCCCCGGACTGCGTCAGTTCGCCTTGCCAGACTGAAAGGTCCTTGATGCTTCCTTTATACCCTTTGCAATAGCTTTATTTCATAGATTGGGCAAATGGGAGAGAAGATAAAATGGCGTGGCTGAGAACACACAGATGATCCACCGGAACCAACATGGCAATAATGAGTGACATTCATTTGCAGCTCGCAGGGGCTGGAGTTGGGAAGCAAGGGAGACCTCACCTCCCATGCAGAATTTAAGGAGTGCCAAAAAAACTCAGTAATCAAGATGAGTAATATTTTAATGCAGTATTTAAAAATTAATGCGGCCCTAGCCGGTTTGGCTCAGTGGATAGAGCGTCGGCCTGGAGACTGAAGGGTCCCAGGTTCGATTCTGGTCAAGGGCACATGCCTGGGTTGCGGGCTCGATCCCCAGTTGGGGGTGTGCAGGAGGCAGCCAATCAATGATTCTCTCTCATCATTGATGTTTTTTTCTCTCTCTCTCCCTCTGCCTTCCTCTCTAAAATCAATAAAAAATATTTTTAAAATTAATGCAAAAAATCCATGATGAACAAAATGTCAAGATTGTAAATAAGATAATGTGTTAGTCTTATGACCCTGTTGTTGTTATTGTGCAATGGAACAGTGGTTACCAATCAGCCCAGGGTTCCCAGGCCTGTGTAGCCCTCAGGCCCCCACCAGGTGATGTGCACAGGTGACTGTGGCAACACTGGCTTTCGATGGAGTTGTGATTTTTAGTCGTAGAGCTTCAATTAGCTTTTTACCCTCGGTTCAAAATAAGTGAGTATTTGCTAAGTGAACATAGGGGTAACATTTTCCCTTATCTTGGTTTCCATATGACTCTTCACAGCATTTCAATTTATAAAGAACTTTATTACATATCATTTCATTTAATTCTCAAATAAACAAAAAAATCCTGATTTTTTTGGTGGTGGTGTTACCCTCATTTTAGAAAAAAAGAAACTAGGCCTCCGATTAAGTTCCTAACCCAGCAGTATCAAGCCAGCCAGTGACGGAACTGGGATTCTGACCACCCGTGACCCAGATCCCACCGCGAGCTGCCTCGCCAGGTTGCTTCCTACTCTCTACCCAACCCTCTGCTTCCGCCTTCTCAGCTCTGTGCTCTCATGTCTGTCTCTACCATTTTCCCAGGGGGTTGTGGATGTGCTTGTGTGAGTAGTGTGTACAGTGACATGTGTGTTTGCTTGTGTGAGTGTGTACACATGTGGGCGTGCACGTGTGTGTTCAGAGTATGAGGACACGTGACACAGAAGAGAAAATGTGGGAAGGAGGGCTGCGGGGGCTGCGGTAAGACAGAGCGCCCGTCTAACTTACTTGGACTCAGGATGGCATGTGGAGAGCTAGCACAGCCCTGAGAGCTGAGTGGACTGACCTCATCCTCCATCCCCAGGAACTGTTGTCAGGGTCAGTGGCAGGCCACCGCCCCTTCTGTTGAACAATATGCCATTGTATATATACACCGTATTTCAATGTGCCAGTGTGTATATATTGTATATATATATATATATATATATATATATACACACTCTCAACCTTAATGAACATCTAGGTTGAGAGTTTTTATCATAAATGGTTGTTGAATTTTGTTAACCAATGTCACCTCAAAAAGTTCAATTAAAAAATAAATTGCATCTGGCAATGAAGAGGTCATCTTTGACGGCTCAAGGATTTCCAGTAAATGATAGGGGCGTGACCTTGACTGCAATGGCTTAATGGGGAGTGGGCGTTGAGGAAGTGGAGGCGGGGAAAGAGCAGGTGAAGGGAAGAAGAGATCTCAGGCAGCGGCGGCGGTGAGTAGGTGTCCTTCCCTTAGAGGAGACAGCATGCTCTTCAGCAAAGGGAGTCATCTCTCCTGAAGTCCTCTGTAAATCTCACCTGCTGGTCGTGTGGGTGTTTGGACAATAGAAGTTCCTTTTCCATCTGTGCATGTATGTATTATGTACTGCCCGCCTTGTTCCAGAAAGGCCTCTGTTGGCTCGGGTTCCGGTCTGCCATGGACCACCTAGACTCAGCCTCCCTTACACGACTGCAGAGGACGACACAGGTCTGTACGTAAACTGCCGGTTTCCAAAGCTGACGTAGGCTATCGGAGCACAGAAGCAAGGGGGATTGGAACGGGAACACTCAGACACCATCTTTCCCTCCTGGGGGAGCATAACTCAGCAGGTTCAGTTCTTAGGGCTCAGCTGCTCCTACAGATGGCCTGTTAGCCAGCTCAA